CTCGTTAGCAGTGCTTGAGCTCAGATGTCTTTCTTTTTGTTCATTACTCTCATAGTGGTTTAACTTAATTCAATATACTTTATTTCAATAATTTTTTCTCTTTATTTTCAAAAGCGTTTGATTTGCCCGTGTTTTGCTTCAAAAAATTTTTGTCTTGTTTGTTTGGTATCAAGCATAAATTCTGAAGTTAACATTACCACTTCAGGTACATCTCATTTGTCAAATGCCATGCTTCAGGCCACAGGTAAGGGCGACCTGTTGGGTGATTTATCAGCATTTATCCCCCCCCCCCCCCAGAGTTTACTGTGCCTTCCCAAACCCTATGTGAGGATTCTGTTTGGCTATATCTGATTTTATTTCTCAGGTATGTGATGTTTTGTCTATTGATCCTATTTCTTATCATCCATGTCTTTCTGCCTTCCAACCTAATTTAGTTTTTCCCCAATCTCCCTGATATTCAAGTTCCCGCTGAGGATTTTGCCTCCCAGTTAGATGATGGCATTAGTATGTCTCATCTCCTGTGGGCTTTGGTTCAGTCAGCCCACGCTTATCATAGGGCTGACTGTCTATATCTGGACCAACAATTGTTGGGTTCAGTTTTGCTGTTTTGGGGATGGGACCCGATTCTCCCATTCATCTTACCAATGCCCAGTATTCTCGCCTTCATCTTCACAGGAACTCCGAGGGGTTTGCTGGAAACGTTATTGACCTGTCCTGTCTCAATCGATATGTTCACACCCCATGCTTCACAATGGAATCCTAACTTACTCTTTCATGGGCTTTTCCTCCAGGTCTTTGGATGACCAAGATGTACTTCTCCAATGCTTATTTGCATATTCCCATATTGGAGCCTTATCTTCTGCTTGTCCATCTTGGGGTGGTGTACCAATTTTGCACCCTTCCCTTCTGGCTGGCTTCAGTGCTGTACGTTTTCTGTCGGATGGAGTGAACCTTCGTTCTGCATCTTCATGCCCTGGGTTTGCACTTTCACATTTACATGGATGATTAGCTTCTTCTCGCTCATTCCGAACAGGAGTCAACCTGTCATACTCGTCAGCTCCTTCTTGAAGCTGCTTGGGTGGGCTGGTTGATCAAATTGGAGAAGTCCTTCCTTTATTCTACCCAGTACCTTGTTCATCTGGGTGTTTTATTCAACACCCATCTCAGTCAGACCCAACCTTCTCCTGTTTATCTCTGTTCTATGGAACTGGCCATTTGGAATGCCCTGTCTACTCCTTCAGTTTCTGCTCGTGAGGTTCTATTGCTTTTGGGTATGTGGTCTTCTATGACTCCTCTCATACCCCTTGGCTGGGCTTATATGCAATCCCTTCAGTGGAACCTTGCTCAGGATCCCTTCCTTCCTACATTATCGATGATATCTGATGGTGGCTGGACAAGGCTCACACAACAGCAGGTGTCCCGCTTTTTCCTCCGTGGCAGGATTTACATCTATCCACAGATGCATCCCTTCGTATTTCATCATATTAAGGTTTTTAAATTCCTTGCTATTCATTGGGCTTTAGATCATTTTCTTCCTATCTCCAGAGATAATCTGGTCATGAACCATTCTGACAATTCAATAGTGGTGGCTCATATCAATCACCAATGTAGCACCTGATCGAGATCCTTGTGTTTGTTAAAATTGAATCTTCTCTTTTGGGCCCACGATCATCACATTTGCTTGATGGGTGTGTCAGGTACCGGGTGCTTTCAACCTTGTAGCGGATTGTCTTTCCCGATCTGACTGGGTTTACTTGATGGAGTGGTCCCTTCATCCCCTAGTTTTTCAGTGGCTTTGCGATCAGTGGGGTATTCCTCATATCAATGCATTTGCCACCACCTTCAATCACTAGTTACCTTTGTTTTGGTCCTCGAACCCCATCCTTGAGCCGACAGGATTGGTCAAACTAGTTCCTTTATGTCAAACAAGTTCCCTCATTCATACCACTCCTTGCCAAGTTCTTCTGATTGCTCCTTACTGGCCTTCTCAACCATGGTTTCCTCAATTATTCCAGCTGCAGTTGTTTCCTCCTGTCCCTCTTCATTTATTTCCCAACCTTCTTCTTTAACCCCAGTTGCTGGTTCTGCATCCCACACTTCATGTCTGGTTTTTTGTCTGGTCCCTGGCAAGGAGATCCAGTTTTTCACATCGGGTGGCATTTCATTTAGCTCATTCTGTTTGTCTTTCATCCATGGCTGTATATCAGTGGAAATGGAATGTTTTTCTCACCTGGGCCATGGCTTGGGGTATCCCAGTTTCTTGTCCTACGGTTGCTGATTTCTCTGAGTTTCTTACATGGCCTTTTTAAAAGAGCTCTTTGGGTCTCCTCGATATAGGGTTATCAGGCAACCCTATTCAATACTTTCCATTTTTCTCGTTATTGCAGGGTCTTTCTTTCCTTTGTTTTTGCCATTTTAATTCGTTCTTTCTGGATATGTCGGCTGACTAGGCATCTGGTACTTCCGTATTGGGACATTAATGTGGTACTCCATTCCCTTGCTTTACCTCCATTTTAGCCCATTGCCTCGTGCTCTTTGTTTCATCTATCCCTTAAGGATCTGTTTGATATTGATATCACTCACACACTGTACCACCAAACCTATCTTCTTCTTTATTGTTTCCAAGACCTTGATGGCTCACGAGGGTAATTATTTCTTTTTGCCCATTTCCCTTTCTTTATATTTCTCATGTCCATATCCACATAGACTTATATGCCCAGTGTGTGCCCTTTGTTGTTATATTGCTCGCACGGCTTCCTTCATGGGTTCCTATTCTCAACTCTTTATCTTGGCAATCCTTTTCCTCTCGGGATATTTTGCCCTTTACCCTTACCAATTGTATTTGTCATTTAATCCAGTTGTCTTATTGCTCTTTGTCTTATTCCTAACATGCTTTGTTCTCTGTAACCTCCTATGAAATCTGACACCTCACCTTTTCCCTTGCTTCTCATCTTCTTTGGCCTTTGGAGGAGATTCTGCAATCAGGCACATGAACGACCCCTCAGGCGTTCTGCTCCTGT